CAATATATGCCAATTGATAAATGTGATACATCATATCAATAGAATGAATGACAAAAGCCGTATGATCATCTCAATTGATGCAGAAAAAACATTCTATAAAATTCAACATCCCTTCGTGATAAAAACCCTCAACAAAATATGCATAGATGGAACATATCTTAACACAATAAAGGCCATAGATGACAAGTTGACAGCGAATATCATACTAAGCAGGGAAAAGCTGAAAGCTTTTCCTCTAAGAATTGGAACAAGACAAGGATGCCTGCTTTTAACACTCTTATTCAACATAGTTCTAGAAATCTTATCCAGAGCAATTGGGTAAGAGAAAGAAATAAAGGGTATCCAAAATGGAAAAGAGGAAGTCAAACTGTCCCTGTCTGCAGATGACATGATGTCATATATAGAAAAATCTAAAAGCTTTACCAAAAATTCTTAGAACTGATGAACAAATTCAGTAAAGTCACGGGTTACGAAATCAACATACAAAATCATTAGCATTTCTATACACCATAAGAAGCAAGATGAAAAAGAAATCAAGAAAGCAATCCCATTTACAGTAGCTATCAAAATAATAAAATACTGAGGAATTAATTTAACCAAGGAGATGAAAGATCTCTGCAAGGAAAACTATGAAACTTATGAAAAAAAATTGAAGAGTATACAAAGAAATGGAAAGACATTCCATATTCATGGGTTGGAAGAATAAACATTTTGAAAATTACCGTACCACCAAAAGCAATCTATAGCTTGAATGCAACCCCTATCAAAATACCAATAACAGTTTTCACAGAGGTAGAAATAACAATTGTAAAATTCATATGGAACCACAAAAGACTCCAAATAGCCAAATCAATTTTGAGCAAAAAGAACAAAACTGGAGGCATCACATTAACTGACTTCAAAATATGTTACAAAGTTATAGTAACCAATATAGCATAGTACTGGCATAAAAACAGACACACAGAACAACGGCACAGACCAGAGAACCCAGAAAAGCCATCTATTTACAGCCAACTGATTTTTGATAAAGACTCTAGGAGTATTCATTGGGGAAAGGACAGTCTCTTCAACAAATGATGCTGGGAAAACTGGATATCCACATTCCGAAGATTTAAATTAGACTCCTTTCTCTCACAATAAACAAAAATCAACTCAAAATGAATTAAAGACCTATATTTAAGACCTGAAACTATAAAACTACTAGAAGAATGCGTAGGGAAAATGCTACATGAAATGGGAGTAGGCAGCACTTTTTTGAACAAGACCACAAAGGCACAGGTGACTAAAGCAAAAATAAACAAATGGGACTACATCAGACTAAAAAGCTTCTGCACAGCAAAGGATATAGTCAACAAAGTAGAAAGACAACCTACATAATGGAAAAAGGGTTTGCAAACAACACATCAGACAAGTGGTTAATATCCAGAATATATGAGAAACTCAAACAACTCAACAGTAAAAAAGCAAATAACACAATTAAAAAATGAGAAAAGGAACTGAACAGACATTTTCCAAAAGAAGACATACAAATGGCTAACAGGCACATGTAAAAATGCTCAGCATCACTAATTATCAGAGAAATGCAAATTAAAACCACAATGAGACATCATCTTACTTCGGTTAGAATGACTATTAACACAAAGACAGAAAGCTAACAAGTGTTGACAAGGATGTGCAGAAAAGGGAACTCTCGTACATTGCTGGTGGAAATGTAAATTGGTATAGCCATTGTGGAAAACGGTATGGAGGTTCCTCAGAGAACTAAAAAT